ATTAGCTATGTTCCCGAGGAGTGGGGGTGGATGGTTTCTCCACGACTATCTATATGCACAAGGGGGAGGCTCTTTAAAGGACCCTACAGTGATTCATAAAACCAAGAGCCAGGCTTGAGTGACTATGTGGAGGCATCTGAGTGCAATAAAGGCACAGTGTGCCCAGGAGTGGACAACAGACCTGTGGGCCAGCAAGAATAACTGAGGCTGGAACTGCTACGGACCCCACCCAAGGATGCCCATGAGCTTTGTACCAGAGAGGAGAAAGTGCCCAGACCCCAAGGAAAATCAGTGCTTACCAGGCGTCTGAGCTGGACTTGGTAGAGAGGGGAAGGGAGGAGCCCCAGCGCTGGCCACACACACACATGCGCATGCACGCACCTGCTGCGCACCCCTAACACAAATGTGCACGCACCCTGCTGCAGCATCTACTACACAGCGGGAGAGGGCGCGAGCAGGTGAGCTGCCCAGGAGGCCTCCCTCCTCTCCCCTATCTTGGTATCTCCCTATCCCCTTTTCCTTACTAGGTCCTCAGGAAAGCTTACTCAGCTCATCCAACAGACTTGTGAAGCCCCACTATGTGTTAGGTACCTGGAAAGGTATCGAAGTCTGAAAAAAGAGGGAGAGAGGGAGGAAGAGAAAGAAGAGAAGCAGTATGTCCAGAGAGGGAGGAAGGAAGAAATGGGGAGAAGCAATGTGTCCACAGCAGTGTCTCCAGCGCACAGAGTCTTCCTGGTGTGTGCGCGTGTGCGTGTGCACGTGTGTGTGCGTGTGCACGTGTATGTGCGTGTGCGCGTGTGTGTGTGCGCGCGCGCGTGCACAATCATGCACAAGAGCCTGTGTATGTGGGTTCCTGCTGGACGTGAAATGCCCCCAACTTGCACCCCAGGGTAAGGGCGCTGTTAGCAGTGAAAGGCACTCTCTGACCATCCCGACTTTCAGTCTAAATAAACACATTTGAACCCACAGCAGAAGAAACCTGAGTAGGACCACGGAGCATCACACATCAGGCTGGGAGGCACTGTTCACTCCATCCCCTTCACGCAGGCGGAGCCCGAAGAGCGGAGAAGCCAACAGCACAGGCTGCCCGGGTTCCAACCCCAGCAATGCCACTTGCTAGCTGTGTGACTTTAGGCAAATGACTTAACATCTCTGAGCTTCAGTTTACTCCTTAATAAGTTAGAATGATGAAAATAATAGTGCCTACCTTATAGGGCAATGTAAGAATTAAATAAAATAATGCAGGTACAGAGCTTAAAAGAGCGCCTGGCAGACAGTCAGTGCTCAATGCATCTTGGCCATTGTGTTTCTAAGGCCAGAGGAGGGATGGGAGCTCAAGATCAGGGGCCTAGCTTGGGGCTCTGGATGACTGTCCAGCTCTGACTCATATCTGGGGATCTAAGGAGGCCCCAGGCCTGCTCTTGGTCCCCTTTCCTGCTCCCTCTGCCCCTTGTCCTTCCCTACACACAGAGCTGGCACCTTACATCCATGATCCCCCCTAAGCTCTTGGCCTTTTTGCTGCTCACCTCCCCACCCATCCCCCACAAGGCCAGCCCCCTCCCTCTGCTGTGGCCACAGCTACCAGCTGCCTCACCCTGTCCACAGCCCCAGAGCTCAGCCCCTCAAAGCCCACCCCCTCCCAACCTCCCCAGGCAGCCTGTTGCCTGCCCACCATTTGGATGGCAGAGTGGGGGAGGTGGCAAGGGAACACACACACAGACCTCTCTGCACCCCCAGCCACGAGTGTGGCCTCCTCAGCCCATCACCCACAGCTCTGCCCCCACCTGCCTGACCGTGGGCTCCAGGATTCTCCTCCTGTGGAGGGGTCTTATCCACTCTCATATTCCTTTCCATCCTCTCCACAGAATATTTCCTGAGTACCTACTCTGTGCTATCCCAGGCCCTGGAGATTTGCACAGAGGAAAGGGGCTGAGGCCCTGCCCTCCAGGGGTAGCAGTGGGCCAGGTGTCATCTACACCAGTAGTTCTCAAATGTTGGTGTGCAACGGTACCCCTGGAGGGCTGGCTAGAACACAGGTCACCAGGGTTTCTGACTCAGCAGGTGTGGGGTGGGGTCTGAGCTTTGTTTCTAACACCTTCCCAGGGGTGCAGCTGCTGCTGGTTTGGGGATCCCATTTTGAGAACCACTGGTCCATTGCAGACCGAAGCAAGGGCTTTGACCAGAGAGAAGGAGAGGAAATAGGGAAGAGCCCACCAGGGGGAGGGAACAGAGGCCTGGCAGCTCCAGGAAGTACTGCAGTGGGGCTGGAGGGAGAGGCGCGTGGAGGTGTGGCAGGGAAGGAGGCTGGAAGGGCAGGTGGGGCCAGGCGGTGAAGGGACTGGTGGATGGCCACACTCCTTCCCTCTGGCTCACCAGATGGTTCCTTTGAGCCCGGTGCCCCTGGCACCTCTGCCAGGCTCCTCGGGCTGCAGACCATGCCTGGGTCTCCCCTTCTGCAGCCCCACAGCCCCCTGCCCCAGCCCGCCTCTCAGGGGCTGCCATGGTGGCTGTCAGTGTCTCCACCCGCCCTCCCTGGAGCTGCTGGAGCCAGCCCAGAGGTGCCAGGGCAGAGTGCCCGGTGAGGCAGCATGCGCATGTGGGCGTGGGCAGCTGGGGAGGAGGCCCAGCCGAGCCCAGCCCTTGTCGTCCAGGTCGCTGCCATCTCCTGGCACACCCACCTGCCTGCCAGCGTGTGAGTGTGCTCGCTCTATCCGCACGCACCAGGATCTGGGGCGGGGTGTGTGTTTGTTGCCGCTTGAGCCAGAGCAGTCACTATGGGGAGATAATAATAGCAGTCGTAATCCCTCATAATTGGACCAGACTTTGCTGTCTGCAGGGCACTTCCATGCCCATGACCTCATCTGACTTCCACAACGGCCTTGTAAAACAGGCAAGGCTAGCGTTACTATCCCCATTTTCCAGCTGAGCAAACACAGGCCCAGATGGCCTGAAATCACATCTCTTCTAAGTGGCATACTTAGGACTGGAGCCTGAGACTTCTGACTCCTTGTCCAGTGCTCTTTCTCCACCCTGAACCGCCATAAGATAGAGCCCGCCTGCTGCTATCTACACTGGTGGCCAGGCTCTGCTGCCCAGGACAGCAGCAGGGGCACTGGAGTCCAGTAGCAGGAGTTTGTCCTGGCTGGCTGTACCTTCCCCACCTGTGGGGGTGACTGACCAGTAACTGCAAGTGTGTCCCATGGAGCTGTGTCAGCATCGTCAGGACATGGGAATTAGGGTAGGGGGAGGCTCAGGGTCACCCAATCCAACAGAGAAAAAAAGCCAGGCCCAAGGAGGGGAGGGGATTGGCCAAAGCTGCCACTCAAGAGCACAGGTGGCTGCAGGTGTCCCCAACTCCATGGCCTGAGTCCTGAGCGGAGTAGCCCAGGAGGCCGGTGGGATAACCTGGACTATCAGCTCTTTTCCCATGGGACCAGAGAGAAGGGGACTGGCCTGTAGCCTTAGGAGCCCTGCCCAGGGAGCTGCTGCACCTGTTGACTCCCCAGCTTGCTCTGCCTGACTGGGTGGCACCCCGCAGGGCTCCAGGCTAGGAAGGCAGGTCCTGGGCTTCACATACACACCAGGTGTGTGTGTCCACAGCAGGACTATGCAGGTGGCTGTGGGAAGGGCTCAGATCCAAGAGGCAGGAGACCAGACTTTCATCTGGACCCATCCCTGGCTCAGTTTCCTCATCTGCGAATGAGGGCCATCTGTCCTTGCCCTACTTGTTTGAAGGCTTGTCCCCAAGGACCAAACAGAACAATGGATGGAAGCCACCCAGAAAACAGACACACACTCTAAGAATGAGTGTGCCCAGGAAGGAGCTGGGCGTGCTTGGGGGAGGTCTCAGAGCTGCTGCATAAGGCAGACAGGCAGAGTTGACATCCTCCAGGTGGGTGCCTGGGCTGCCTGTAGCCCGGAGCACCCTGAGGCCTCACATCTGGTGCCAGAAGGACAAACTGCTGCCCCATGAACATGCCTTGCTACTCCCAGACACCACCAGGCATCGCAAGCTCTCATCCTTGCTCAGGGAAAGGGGAGCAGGCAGAGGGAGCTGCGGGGACAAAAGCACACCAGATGGACATGCCAGGAAGGCTATGTCCATCACAGCTGCCCTGGAAGGCTGGCAGTAGAGTTTACCATGCCACTGACAGAGGGGGAGAACAGTCCAAATGCTGGGGGCTAAGGGTAGCTTTCTCTGAGGGTGTACACAGGTTGGTAAGGTCCCAGCAGGGGTTCCCATCAATTTGACATCATCGCCTCTAACTGATTTAGGCCCAACCTGGAGCTTGGCAGAAGGGTGAAGAGGTCACCCCTCATGGGGTGCTGAAAACACAGAAGTCACCAGCTCTATGGTCAGAAGCCACATCAAGGATCAATCACCCAGTGACACTCACTCGGAGCCTGGATTAGGGGGCGGGAAATCACCATCTCCAAAGGGCATCTCCAAAGGCTGAGCACCCAGCACCCAGCAGTGGGCCTGCATGTCTGTGTGGGAGGGGGAGCCCTCACAAGGCCTCATGTCTACCGTATTCCCCTCTCCCCCCAGAACTTGTCTTTGGCCTTCCAGAAGCTACTGAACACCTTGGGGAAACAGAGGCAGCTAAAACAGAGGTAAAGTGACAGGCCTCAGCCAGTAAGAGGCAGATCCGAAAAAGGATCCAGGTTTGGGGCTCTGCGAGGCCGAGCCCCTGAAATCGCACAGACCTGGGGTCTGAGCCTCTGCTCAAATACCCAGTGGTTAAAGGCCTGGGTCCTGGAGCCATACTACCTGGCTTCCAATTCCTGCTCCACCACCAGAAGTTAACCTCGCCAAGCCTCAGTTTCCTCCTCCCCAAAACAGGGATGTCAGTGGTCTCCCCCGCCCCCATTCCCTGCCCTGAAGACTGGGCAAGGCAGCTGTGCACTCGGCACACCTGAGCTGTCGTTATGTGGGGATGGGCCCTGCCTTCCCACTCCCGGCTCCAGCCAGAGGGTCCCCAGCAGAGCCCGCCGCTCACCTTTCGGTCCTCCTCCCGCTCCAGAGCGGAGCTGCTGGTGTCCCCGGGGCCGCTGGAGGGCATCGCGGGCAGCTGGGCGGTGGGAGGCAGGCCGGGGCTGCGCGGGGCTGGGGGACTGCTGGGCTTTGGGGAAGGAATTATCGTGGTCTTTGTAAGCTGCAGTTAAAACTTAAACATAGATCCCGGCGTTGAGCCCTCTGGTGAAACGCTGCCTCCGTCTGTCTGTGGGTTTGGGCTTCCGACGGCTCCACCTGCGGGGGAAAAGGAAAGGGTCAGCAGGGCAGGGCACCCCGACCCTCCCTGGGTTTCACCCTCAACCCACCGAGGCCTGGTGCCTCTGACCTCACTCCTCCTCCCAGCCTCACCAGCAGCCCAGACAGCGGGGAAACTGAGGCAGACTCGACCGTCCGGCAGCAGCGGGCTCCCCTCCGGGCGGGCAGGGCAGCCTCCTGCCTCTGCCAGCCTCGCCTCGCGCTGGCTGCCTCCCTCCGCAGTGCTGTGGCGCAGCGGGTGCTGCTTCTGGGCCTTCCAGCTGCCTCCCGCCTCCTCCCTTCTCTCCGCTCACGTCTGCTCTTCCCTTTGA